AGCCATCTGTTTCAAGACTGGCTGTAAATTTTTTGGTTACAGTTGAATTAATACACTTATACAATATTGTACTCAGCATAAAACTTTTAAGACCTAAAATTAAATGAGGTTCTAACCTTTAAAAAAGGTTCATTTCATTATTAAAATACACAGTTTCATACAGAAAAATTCATTTTAAGGCAATTGACATTGAGACGTTTTCACATGCATTTCTAATCTCTATATATATGACTATTACTGGTCACAGTCGCTTACTTTCTGAGTTCCTTGGTATTTGAGCATGAATATAAACTCGTCAGATAGATTTCAATGGTAATGTTTTTCACATCTACTAATTATTAAGGAGCAAATTTCTATGCTCTGAAGAATTATTTTTTTAATTTTTAAAAAATTCAATAGTTACAAGATTAGAAGAAGCATTTCATTTCACATTTAACATATTCAGTAACACACTCCAGAGCAAGGAGGCAACTCTTCCAAAAGTGGCTGTAAATTTTTAGGTTCACAGTTGAATTGATACAGTTATACAATATTGAACGCAGTAGAAACCCTGTAAGATATAAAACTGAATGAGTTTTTACCCTTTAAAGAAGATCTCCATTTCAAGATATGCTGTTTCCTACATTTTTTAAACTTTTTTTTGTTTCTTTTAGAAGAAGCACATCATTACAGTTTTAACATGCCCAATATCAGTTTCCAGAGCAAAGACACAGCTCCTTCCCAACCAACCAACCAACCAACCAACCAAAGCACTCTTAAAAGAAGAACCCTAAGACCAACTTTGCAAAATGTTAGCATCTAGTCTGATGGTGGACACGTGTGTCTGTTGCACTGGTTTTGTAAGCCTTAATTACTTTATAACTAAAAATAAACAAGGTAAAATGTTTGGAAAAATATAGAATAGGGTAAAGAAAATAAATCATTCATAATTCAATCACTCTAATATTGCCACTGATAACATAGTTGGTGTTTTCTAACCATATTTTAAAACCTTAATGCTCATTTGTATGTACAATTACACATCCTGTTGTTTTCCACTTTTAAACTCTTTACGTATTTTGAAAGGGAAAAGTGCCAACAAGTGTTGAAATTGTTGGCCATAACAGGAAAAATTGGGCTCTATTTGAAATTTTAGTCTAGGACCCAGAATGTTACTCTCTGAACCATGTCTAACACTGAGTTAGCTTAGGGGTACCAGTACCAGCATGTGTCTGTCACTTTTTATAAACATCGGCCCCTGTAGGTCATGAGTTTGGGGGCAGCGGATGTGAATGTGCATTTAAAGCTTTCACAGTTTTTAAATAAAACAATGAAAAACATTTATTTTGTTTAAAATACATTTTCTAAGATGTATATAAGGATTCAATAGCTGC